GGGCACGGCCTCGGTGTTGCTCTGCACCGTGTGGCACAGGAGGCAGTTCCACTCGGTCTGCGTGGCCTGGCTCACGTCCCGCGGCACTGGGAGCGGAGCGGAGGACAGGATGCTCCCCATTGCTGAGGAGCTGGGGGATCTTGAAGGTSTCTTCCAACCCTGATGATTCCGTGATTCTGCAGTGCTTCCAAAGGGTGTCACACGCTGCAGAATGGAGAGAAGCCATGGCCACTGGCTATCCTCAGGCAGGGAGAGGAGGAAGAAACGCCCAGACCCCTCAAGGACACCCTCCCAACCCACAGATACCCTTTGAGGGATGTCTCCTCATGGAGCTCACCTCGGGTGCTGCCTGGACCAGGCAGGCCCAGGGACGTGGAGTGATGGAATTCCCAGTGGCAGCCCCAACCCACCACTGGGAGATGCCTGGATCGATTCTCTCTCAGCCTTGCTGAGCAGCAGTTCAGTGTTGAGCCACGCAGGCCCTGCTCGTACCCAAACACAATCAATGAGGGCTGTGACATCACAACACATCCCCCACAGATGTCACACTCAGCCACTTGGTTTGTCACCCTCCGCCAGCAGGTGACATCACCAGGGGACAATGGCCCCCAGAGGCATCAGAAGAGGGAAAATACTGCTTCTTGTGTTGAACTTGGGCATTTTCATGTTGCTCTCAGCCTCCTGCATGCGTGTCCGTGTGTCTTGTCCCCAGTGGGGACTGCCAGTTCCAAGCCCACAGCTGTGCACTGAGACAGGGCTGGGTGGTTCTAGGGTGAGCAGAGGGGCTCCCCAAAGGCACCCACAACTGTTTCTATGCTCTGACTGCACCCAGAAAGCACAGGCACCCTCCCGGGCATGCTCCCAAATCTGCTCCTATCTGAAGGTCAGTTCTCTTTTCCCCCCCTTGTAACAGAACATTGCTGTGTCGGGCTGCAGCAATGACAGTTCTTACACCTGCCTTCCTGCCAGCCCTGCCCTCAGCCTCACCTGATGTGTTGTTATTTGGGCACTGGGTAATGGAGCAGCCTTTGAACAGAATAACGGGGGTTTTGTGTGTGTGCACAGGTGGTGTTTGCAGCTGAGAGGTTTTGCACAACAGCACTGCACACTCTACCTCACAGTGCCAGGTGGGATTTGCCAGGTGAGTACTGAATTCTGCTCTAATCCAGAAAAGACCAACACAGCAGCTGCTCGTACCTGCTGCTACTGTAATGAAAGCTGAGAAGATACAACAAAGGAGGGTTGGGCTGCGCTTGCAAGATAAAAATCAGTATTTCGTGCCTTGTTACTTGCACTGGGGGCACCCCAGAACAGCCCATCCAAAGCACCCTGGAAAGGAGGAAAAGGGTTGATGGTCAAAGCCAAAAACATTTTGATTGCTGTAATGAGTATAGCAGTAACAGAATTCTGGGTTTAGGGGAAAGGCAAATTAAATGGTGATGATGGTTAGATGATTAGACTAGATTAATTATTAGATGAAAAGACTACACCTGTTATTTGAAAGGGGACAAATCCAGAGTTTAGTAGCATTAATCCAACGCCAGGGTGGATAAACATGTGTTTTCTCTCACTAAACTGGCTGTAAGCAAACGTGCATCACACAGAATTGATTTGGTTGCCTTTTTTTCCTGTGGTATTACTAAGCACAGCACTCGATCATGTGTCAGTTACCAAACACAGGATCAGTGTTTCCCCCCAGCAACCCAGGAGGAGCTGCATGTTACACATTTAACTTCCTACAAAGTAAAACTTTCGCTTGATTGTTGCCTTTCCCCCTCAAGTTATGAAAATATCCTTCTGAGAGGAATACAAAATAATCTGTGGTGCAACATATATTCAACTTATAAAGACATGAAAATCTTTTATATATCTTCTGTAAGGCAAAGTACAAAACAGTATTAATACAGTAGGAGCTTCCTTTACATCATGAGCTTGGGACATCAAACTTTTTAAGTGAAAATTTCCAAACAGCATTTTTTTTTTTTTCAAATTGTGAATTTGAATAAACCTTTCAAATGCTGATAACTTATGGAATGCGTGCTGCACAATTGCAAAGTAAATTAAAATGTGTAAAACATAAAAATAACTTAAGACTGACACCGCTAATCTATAGTCTCTTTCAAACCGATTTCAGTCATTTATTTCTCTCTCGTTATTGCCCTAAGGCGATGTCATGGCTCAGGAGAGGCAGGAAACAGCTTGTACCTCAGTGCTCAGCCCAGGCTGACCCTGCAGAGTGCAGAGGATGCCTGGAGCTGTCTCGATGCTCACACAGCAGATGTAGACTCAGCTCACAGCCCCGTGGTGTGGCTTAAGCAGCCCTGCTGGGCAATCACACCGCGCTCCTCAGCCAAGGCCTTGGCAGCACAGATCGCTCGTGGGTGTGTCCTGGTCCCTCAGTCACTGTCGTATTCCTCGATCTGTAATTCCTCTTCGTCCAGGATGGCCTGAGCTGTGACAGGCTGGGGCTGGCTGCCAGGCAGGTCACTCGTGCTGGACTGGCTGGAGGGGAGTGGGAGCCCCTCGGGATCGCCATCGGCACTGTCCCCATCCCACTGGAACAGCTCTGGCACCCCAGGGTCTTTGTCACCCAGAGCTTCCAGCTTTAGCCTGCAAAAGCACCAGTGCAGCAGGGCATGACCATGAGCTGCTGTCTCACAGCCAGGGCTGCCAACAAAACCTTGTTCCCTCTGACAGAGCCACTTTAGGGATTGTTCAGTAGCACAGATTATTCCCTATCAGGATTCCTGAAAGGTGCAAATACCTACATTTCTCTGAACAGACTGTTTTCAGCAGGAAGTTACCCCTCAGATCAGACTTTCAGTGCTAAACCCCCAACTTATTAATGCAGATACAAAATGTCAGTGTCCAAAGAAATGCTGCATGGAAACTTAAAAGGAAGTTACAATTCATTTGAGAAGCTTCATACTTTGTGGCTCGGACCAGGGGGATTACAAAGGAATACAACCCTTAGGGACACTCTCCTTCCTCTCTGTCTAGCAACCAAAATGGCTTTTAATTCAACAGGTGGGGAACAGGCTGGTTTTTGGAAATACAGCTTGGAAATTCACAATTGAACTACACAGCAACACCAAGCACAAGTAGGAGATGCTTTGTCAGGTGCTTGAACAAACTGTCCCGGTTGTCTCACTGCAGCTGTGAACATGATTCTTTGCTTAAGTTAAAACACCTCCTAAATTCCAGAGGTGTTAGAGCTATAGAAGTGCAGCTCTGAGGGTCTCCTGGTGCAATTGAACTCTGTGATTCAGAGAGCTCACGAGAATCACAACAGAGCACCTCATGCTCTGTCACCCTGAGCCCTGCACACACAGCCCATGAGGAAAGCACTGCAGTTTCACAGGGGAAAAAACCTGGGTTTTCAGCATTCAGTAGCTATAGCCGGACTAAAACTCATGCATTCTGAATGAAGGTTTACTCCAAGTAGCCTTACAGGCAAAACTTTGACAAAATAAAATAAAATAAAACCAGTGCAGCTATCTAATTTTAAATTTTATAACTCATTAAATAAACTTGAAAAAATACTTTCCACAGGGATACAGTTTGTTCTAAGGAAGTAAAAACAGTTCCCCATTACATTTTCTTACCCTTCTAAGACTCAGGTGAATACAGAATTTCCTGTCAAACTTCCAGATTGTTTTGTCTCATAATAAACAGTAGGCAAAAGACACCAATCCCTTTGCATCAATTCACTTCTATTCCCACATAAATGAATTAATAGCAAAGAAAGTATTTTATTCAGACCATGCACTAGAGACACAGAGATGCCTAGGAGAGAGCTAATATTTGATACAATGGAAAAGAAAGCTAAACAAGGATTAGAAGCAAGACTTGAGTAAAAACACTGCTACAACACTGTAATTATAAATAGATTTGAACTGGAAAAAGGGGAAAAATTATCATGCTGAGGAAATGTCACATCACAGACATATGTGASRAAAGGGCTCTCTATGAAAGGGTTCTTCCCCTTCACATATTAAAGTAACAGTCTCACTTTCTTTAAGTACAGACAGAAGTTCAGCTTACCTCCCAAAATGTCTTTTCAGTGGCAGCCTCCCCACGTCTTGGATAAAAGCAATCTGAGCTAAGAACAAAGAACACCAGTATCATATTAGGTAGATCATAATTAACAGATAATTGAACATACTTGAAAACAATTAATGACCTTAGTTAAGCATTCCTGTATAGATCTGAAATACTTTAGATACCAAACATATTTATAGATGGCCTGCACACAAACCCCCAAAACCATGACATTTATCCCCTGTGTACTTCTCATGCAGAGCATAAAGAGCATTCCACAGCCTACAAAACTCACTCATCATGTTAGTTAAAACATGATGCTTCTTCTTAGAAACAATTAACAGCACAAGTGACCCAGCTAAAAGTAATTTTTGCATTATGTACCACACAAAGTAAATTTTTCTGCTTGATCTGTTGGCTAATGGATTATCTCAGATTTAACTATTTTTTTTTATACACTGCACATTTGATTTTTGCTTCTTTTATCTCTTAAAGGCTTTTTAAGGCATTGTAAGTCTTTTGACATTACTGGAAAGATATCAGTAAATTCTTTCTCCAGCAAATATAATAGAAGCCCTAAGCCTAGAGAACAATTTAATTAGTAAAGTTTGATCAACTGGATCAGGGCAGCTTTAATTTTGGCTGTGGTACTGAAAGCATCTTTGGGCATCACCTACATAAAATTTACCATGAGAATGTTTTCACTGTGGTATTAAGGTAAAAGCACAGACAGTTCTGACATTTTGGCTTATGAAATTTGTCAGTATGTTTCAATTGCAAAGATGAAGAGTTGCACCCATCTTACCTTGGTTTCTCATTGGGTTTGCTAACATAGCAAGGTAAGGCAGCAGCTCTGTCTGAAGGCACTCAGGTGGTAAACAGAAGCTTGAAAACAGAGATTTTGCAGCAAGGCAATTTTCCTGATACTGTAAGAGTTGCAGGGTGAGGCAGGAGGGGAGCAAGAAACACAAGTAAAAAAAATGATAAACCGTTATTAATGTAACTATTCTGTACCATAATACACAGACTTTCGTCCTGCCTGCTACAGGATGACTACTCACAAGCTACTGAAAATGACACCACAAGATAAGCACATAGCAATCATAAAAATGGTAAAATCCTTCATTTTTGCCTTTTACTGGGCATTAAAATTAAAAAAAAAAAAATTTGGTCCTTGATTACAGAATTTCCTACCCATGCAGGCCAATGCTTTTTGCCAAGAAGAGATGTTTGAGTTCAAATGTAAAAAAATGCCAAGACCTGCTGTTCCTCCTTAACAAGCCGTATCTGATAAACACATAAACCATAACAGCAGAAATTTGTTATGTTTACGCAGCAGTTCAATGTGCTTTAAAGTGTACAAAATCAAATTCTAGAAATAGTTCATAGTATTTCAACACCAGTTGTCTCTCTGTTAATTTAGGATTACCTCTCCCAGGAGCATGCCAGCTTGGACACAGGAATCAGACATTGTCAGAGGCCTCCAATCTTTTTTTTTTTTTATACTAAAGGAGTGATTTAAACTGCCCTTCAAGCAAGTTCTTCTTAGAAGCAGATCATATCAAAACAAGGTATTTGACAAGTTTAGCACTATGATCAGATTTCATCTATGTAACTCAATAGTCATAGCTTGGGTGGGAAAAAAAAACCCCAAAATCAAGGCTTTACCTTTTTATTGATCAAAAACCACTGGGGTTTATGTAAGGGTCGGAATCCCTTCCCCCCGTGCTGGTGGGCAAAGGCTCTGGAGGTGTTGGAGTGGATCACCCCTCGGGTGGCCACAGAGGCACTGTAGCTCTCCATCACAAGCCGTGTCTAAGAGAGAAATTTGGCCTCATGTGAGCTCAAGGCAGTTCATTTGAACTGAAACACACTCAGTAACTGCAGTGGGACAATGTGCACAGCATTTCAAAGTTTAGATTACTGTGAAACGTTTATTCAAAGCAGCTGAGTAAAAAGGAAATAGCTGAATCCTTCAAGGAAAAGGCATAAGGGGACACACAAATTTTTATCAGGAACATATTCTACTAAAAATACTTTGTAGAATATCTTACAAACACTACAACCCACTAAAATAAAATGCTGACAGAAGCGGACAGCATGTTGGCTCTGCATCTCTTCTGCATCTGATGTACTTTAGCATTCATTAAGAATTTGTGTCACTCACACCCTAAGTTTGCAGCAAACATTTAAAAACACAACAAAAAGTCGAGAGGCTCAATGTTGAAGTACTTAAAAACAAGTTTGTGCCCATGAAAAGATGACACTTACACTCCAGTTACTACAAATGACATCAGCAGTGCTCAAATATTCACTGGCTCTCACAACATCATCTATATCAGAAAAAAAGTCCAGGTAGTTCTGGTGAAGGTATAGATTGAACATGCTTCCAGACATGTGTGATTTTTCCACAATATCCTGTTAGGAAAAAGAAAAGGAAAGTTTTCTGTTAGGAAAAGAAAAGAAAAAGGAGATTTTACGACTGAATAAAGAAAAGGATCCTATATATAACAAGCTGTGATGTATCTAGGTCTGGGGGCTGGAACATAAGGTGTGTGCAATGATGCTCAGACACCACAGAGTTTGCTCCACGGGTCCCTTCCAAGTGAGTTACTCAGTAACTCAGACTGAATACACACCGAGATCAGTAACAATTGGATTGTTTCAAACCCAGCTGAGTTCACGCAGCCGCTGCACAAGTACCTCAGGCTGAATGAGCAGTGTGTCCCGACGGTGCTCGGACAGGTGAGCAGGCAGCTGAGGGGACTCTGCTTCTGACACTGCTTCTCCTGAAAAGGATTGCACAGTCTTTAGCTTTTATGTTCAGAAATGTTGTTAGCAACTCTCAGCTCCACCAGCAGCTAAATTATAGCATTCTCTGTTCCCAGAAAGCTCTGGCACAGGCACAAGTATTTAATTATTACAGTCAGTATTACACAGTCATTAACACACAGAAAGTTGCAATAAGCTTCATACAACAAATTTAATCTAATTATTCATCCAATTATTTAATCTGACTATTTGCCTCATCTCACTCCTTCTCTACAGTTGGTTTTGGATCCAGTATTGTGAATTACTATCAAGCTGTGCACAGCCAGTGGCATTAGGGACCCTGACTCAGCTGATTTTTTTATTGACCAAACAGCCCAGGCAGAGGCCATCCAAAGCCTTACTTTAGCAACTCCAGATATTAGCATGCTTTGCCCACTAAAAAGCAGAATAAGTCAAAGTTTTCTTACTTTTGCTATAAATTATTTTCCCCAGAGCATGGAAAAGAAAGATGGATGCATCTTTGCCACCAATAGCTTGTATGTCCTGATCTTCTGAGGTATCACATTTACTTTTCTTTCTTACTTTGGATACTTCCGCTTCTTCACATTTTATCGTGGAGCTCTTTTTCTTCTTTGACCAAAATTCTTTCTCCAATGAGCAGTCTATAAATAAAATAAAAAATAACATCAAGACAAAGCACATGAATGTGCAGAAATTTTATATTATGTTTCTACTGATAATGTTCTATGTGAACAAACAGTAATAATAAAAGGAACAGAACAGGTTATATAAATGGGAATGCTAATAAAGAACTCATTTATTAGATTCACAACCCACTCACCTAAATTAGCATCATTCATTACCTTCATTCCACTTCTGTCCCTTAAGCGACAGCTGAGGTACCAAATACTTTTTGGAACAATAAACAGCAGTTTTTTTTAAAAAAAGCATTCAGACTTATCCCTTCTAGTTCTGATATGTTCCTGGCTTGACTATGTTTAGAATTTCACCTTTGCAAAGCCAAAATACAAATGCATGTAAATTATATTTCAGTTGCATCCTGTTTACTTGTCAACTTGTCCTCCATTGGCATTATCTGTACAATACCTTCTCTGAAATACAGGGTGGCAAAGAGAATTTTCCATTTAGGTGATTCCTCCAACAGCCTACTATCTTGCACAAAGTTTTGAGCCTCATGAAATAAAACCCTTATTCTACTCTAAGCTAACAAACTTGAAAAACTTCACCCACAATTTGTTTTGTGGCATTTGAATGTTCCTTACTGAGCTAAAATAAATTAACCCTTAGGTATTTATTTTTCACTTCTCCCACAATTCCTCGGATCTATTTTATCCATCAATAGTGTAGCAAAGTGAATGTATCAATTATGCTTACATACATACACACATGAAGAAATAAACCTTACATACATAAAACCAAATGCTGCGTGTTCACAAGACCAAAAAGGAGATGGGATGTCTCCCAAACTTGCAAAATATCATTGGCTACCAATCATTCACCTTAGTGAAACACCTACAAACCAGTTATTTTAAGATTATTTAGATTTTCTGGAGGATGTGTCTGGCAGTGAGAAACTGCAAGTTTTTTCTCAGATAACACCAATCCACTATTCATTCATACCAATGACATCATCACCACACTGAGAGCAATTCTCTATTTTTCTGATTAACACAAAATAATCTAAACTCGGTATACCTGAAGACATCATCAGAATAATTGACCTTTAATGTCTGCAAGTTAAATGTAGAAACTTTACYKTYTGCCTTGTGTAATTAAACTAAGACTGCCCAGTTAACTTCAATATACCCTAAAACTCAAATTACAACCCTCCCTYTTAAAGAAATGACTTGAAATTACCTTTAATCTTGTATTCCATGATCGCATTTTCTAATTGCAAAGCAAATGGGAGATAAAGGGGTGTGACAGAAACTGTATCATTGCCAGCTCTACCACATTTAGCATGAGGAAAAATAATGAGTATTTCTCCATATTTTTCTGAGTTGAATATAAATGATGTCACCATTTCACAGTCCTTACAATGAACAACACATGCCAGAGTACTGCTTTTCAAAATGTACATCCTTAACAATTACTGACATGTAAAATGCTCAAACAACAAGAAATTTAGGAAATGCAACAACCAACCAATGAAAATATTCTCTTTAAACTAAAGTTGCACCGTAACTTTGAACAGCAAACACAAATAGCAAAGATACCAGGAAGAAAAGAGGGTATTTAATTAGATTATGTCAGCACATGCAGACATGTTGAGGTTTAATTTAACCCCAGCCTGCAAAAGCTGAGCTCCACCCACTCCCCACACACCCTGGGTTTACTCCTGCTCCACAGATGGGTGTCAGGAATGTTCCTGCAACTCACTCAACTGCTCTGCAACTCTGAACAGAACACGTTTTCAGCAGAAATGGTCACAGTATCACCTCACTTGAAAAAAAAAACATAGCTTTTTACCTTTCATAGAGGAAAACTGAAGACTGTTTATTGCACTTCTTATGTCGCCTGAACAACCTTTGCAAAGCAGCTCCAGAGAACTTCTATCAAGGGTGTAACTTTTCTCTCTGTTCTACAGGGAAAAACAGCATTCAAAACAATACAAAAGCAGGAAAAGGAGTATTTGAATAAGTGGTCCCAACTCTGACTATAAACAGATATGAGTATCCACTATGTGCTCAAACCACATAATACTGCGAACTTTAAAAAACCTAATTAGTTTAAGCACACTGCCACATTTTATACAGCACTATTAAAGAGAAAAATCCATGTAATTCTTTGCAAATTATCACTCAATTTGATATTTGATTGTAATCAAAACACTACAGGAATAATACAGGATTAAGGTTCATAACCTCTACTGGCCTTGATGGATACAAGGAAGATTATATCTCTTCCTAATCTTTGTTTCATTTCTATAGTTACTGTACTAAACAGAGTAATTCTCAGAAGCAACTTTGTAGATTTAGACCACAGATCAAGTGAAACTAATCTTGAAAACAAGGTATCTTTTCAGTTTGTTTCTTGCCTTCTGTCCCTTGCCCTGGGAGAATGGGTTTTTGGGGAGATGAGGGGGCTCTACTACCAAAGATGAAAAAATACAGTAAAAAACCCCATTTACATTTCAGATGTAAAAGTGTGAAACCTTTTGGTCTCAAAACTGCACAGAAGTTATCAGCTTTGACAACTTACCATACTGGCTTCTGCTGCAGCAATTCGATTAAGAACTTTCATCATGTTTGTTGGTGCAATAGGCTTGAAGCTGTTGAATTTCATTAAAAAAAAATTAGTTTCTACACTCTCAGTTATTTGAACCACATTTTAATAAGATGAAAGACCTTACCTAATATTGAATATACACAGCTCCTCCAGAATTTCTGTGGGGAACAGTGACCTCTGGTTGCTGTCTCCACTGAAGTTATCTGAGATTATAAAGACCAGGGGGCACCTGCTTGTACGAACAAATCTCCTGAATTTCAAAACAACAAAGCATGATGAGAATCAAGCTCCGGCTTACTGCAACTGGCTAAAGCTGAAAATTAAAAACTTCAACTGGCTAAAGCTGAAAATTAAAAACTTATTTGCCACTGACCTCAGGATTTCATGCAGACTGCAAGGCTCTCGGTAGAATTGGTTTGGAATGTCCTGTCCAAAACAAAGAGCTGCTGTCATTACATTCAGATGTAAATACTCTTTTCCACAGATTGATGGTCATGGAACACTACATTGCCACACATTTTTAATTCCTGGTTTGCTTGCTGTCAACCACATTTTAATGCAGCTGACCCTGGAGACAGTCAGAGGGGCAGCAGGGGCAAAAAAACACCCAAAGCATTTATTACAGAAAACAATAATCCAAAAAGAAATGTCGAGCTTCCTGAATTCTACAATACATCGCTTCACCCTGCTACAATTTCTGCTTGTTTTGGTCCTCAAGGTTGACAGACAACGTGACTGTCAATTTCTAAAATTCTTGTCAGGAAAAGAACTGAAAAGCTCAGGAAGAAATTGGTATTGAAACACACTTGTGTTGAAGTACAAATAAAGCCTTGCCCTGTGCCTGCCCCCAAACCCTCAGCTCACACCTCTCCCCTAAACACCACCCGTGTAAGAACAGGGAGTTAAGTGTTTTAAATTTAACTGTTCCTGCTTGTGTTCATTCTCCAGTGTCCCCTACACTCTCCTGCATCCTCAAAGAACAGGAGTAGTGGTGTTTTTTCCACTCTTCCTGTTTATACACACACTTGTTTCTAGAAACTTGACCATCCAGAAACGTGGGAATGAATCCTCAATATTGTTTGGATTTTTTTAATACTCTTACATATTTCTGTGCTCAAGCCAGACTCCCATTTTTGTCTGACTCTTTCTCTGTGGTGTCACTACAGGCAGGACGTGGCTCCAGACTGCTCTAGACACTCAAAATGCAATGAAGAACAACTGCACTAAAGCAGACTAACTCTGAAAACACCAATCCAGCATCTTAAGCTAGTTAGCAAGTCAATCTTACAACAAAAGGTACTGTTTTCAACACAATTTCACAAATTTTCACTTACTTCAACAAGAATAAGCTTTTTATCATTTTCTGAGGACTCCCCAAGCATCTGAAGTTTGTTATACTTATTTGCTCTTAATAGAAAATCTTGAAAGAGAGCTGCTTGGGCCTGACTCGGAAACGTATGAAAATTTGAGTCTGAAAAAGAAAACTAATTAAAAATATGTATTCTGTATTATATCAAGTAAAATATAAATACCCACACGAACTAACACCCACCCGTGCCATTTTCTGACAGCAGCTCTAAACAAGCCCTTTTTGCAAAAATGTGAGAAACACATCAGAATTTTTAAAGGGGAATAATTCAGCTGATGACTCAGACAAAGATACTTACCTATTTTCAGTTATTTGATTCAAATTATATCCAGGCTATTACAGAGCTCTCTACACTGATTTGAACTGTCAATTATTTTTGAGTAGACACTGTAAAAAAACTTGAAACACCTTTCCAGATAAAAGCAACAGAAAGATTCTTATTAAACACTGTGGAATGAACTTACATGGATCTGATTTCATACTTGAGACAGAAAAGAAGCAAAAATATATAAAGGATATAAAGCCCACAAAAGTAAGTGGAAGAAGAAAAACAGAAAAATCCCAACACACTTACCATGGTCAAGCATATTTTTCAAGTCTTCCTTTGTGAAGTCTAAGGAGAGTGGATTGGTCCATTCCTGCACCTGAAGGCCAAGATCTTTGGCTAGAATTTGCAGAGTTGCAGTTTTTCCGCTGCCAGGAGGGCCAGTCAGCAGCAAGATAGAACCACCCTGACACAGAGATACAAAATAAAACCATAAATGTAATAAGAAGAGACTGACAGTCAGCTGAAGATCAATATAGGTTGAATTTCTCCTATAGTTTCTCTGGTAATGAACCTCTTTCCCTGTGAAAGCCAAGGCACACATTTTGTGCTGTTAATTCACCTGCTGAGTATTCAGACAAAGAGAACCAGGACAGAGCCTTGCTCAGTTCCTAACATCCCTGGTAACAAACTGCATGTGATTGTGCCAACACAACAGACACCAAACTGGAGAACCAGCTCTGGAAAACACGAGGCAAGGCTATTCTAGGCAATTTCTGCCTCTCTAAGAATGCCACTTACCAATCAAGATTAAAAACAGATTAATGTTTCCTGTTACACCAGCTCAGAGCAGCTGGAAATTTGTCATGAGATTTACAAATTAACCTGAGAGAGAGAAAATGCTGCTTGAAGCACATTCTGAAGAGTTGTGAGTTATGACTGAAGCGTTGTGAATTATGACTGGATGCCAGAAAATAATTTTGCTGAGCAAAATCAGAATCCACCAGGTAGCAGCACAAGTCCAAAAAAAAAGGAAAACCTCTAACCTATGCTCTTAAAGAACCTTTTACAATGAAAAAGATACACAATCACTATGTCTCTAAGTTGAGATTTTTCCCTGAACTTGAAAATGCCTCCAGTTTGTATGGTTTGATATCTTTATCTGCTGATTTTAGCAAGTTTACCTTCTTTGGCTGACCCTGAAATACGTGTGTTTTTAACCAGGTTTCAACCTCTTCAATCTTCTTCTTTTGCACAGCAAGGTCATTCTGAAAGGTTAAACATGTGAAAGTTATACATTAAACTCCTGGTTTCTAATAATGAGAATGAAAATTAGAATAAATGCTGACTAAAATATCAACAGACACGTTGGTGTATATTCTAGTTGGTGTATATTCTAGTGTGCTATGAAAACAATGCCACAGTAAAGGATGATCATTTCAATCTGCTGCCTCAGACAATCAGTATTCCATTCTTTGTAGTCAGAAAATAATGAGCTATTTATTATTTTTTTATGTAATAACACTACAGTATTGTCTGTTTGTGCAAAGATACTTCACAGCTATTGCTGGAACTGGACYTTTTWACTTTTTTTACTCTAAYACTGCACARGTTTTTGRAAYWTTTGCMAATCCCACATTGGAAGCTGACAGGAAACAACATTTCCTCAGCAGAGTTTCCTCCTCAGGAAGCCTGGGGGAACAGATAAAGAGCTTGTTAAAGCCTGGCTTTATGCACTGGCAATGAATGAATAACCCAGAGCCCTTTTGCTTTCCCAGGACATGGTGAGAGCTTGACCAGCACAGTTATGGACAGGAGCACAAATGTCACTCTGAGTGGCACTCAGAGCAATTGTCACACCTGAGTTTCAGGTTTGTATCTCTCCACCCACGGCAGCAGCTCATGCTGGCTCTGGCTGTGCCTGGTCCTGGCACAGGGCACATCCACAGCAGAAGGCTTTGCTCTTTTCCTGGGAGCAGCTCTGGCCTTGCTGCTCTCTGTCACGGGGGTTGGGTGCTCCTGTTTGTGCCCATGGCCTCGGGCAGAGCGGCCTCTCAGCGGCTTCACAGCAACAGCAGAGCAGGGAACACTTGTGCTCCCAAAGAAGTCATCAAATGAACTCGCCAGCCAGTCTGTCACCTGCAGGAACACAGATCTATTGGTAGTTATGCCAAGAAATGGGAGATTTTTATCAATTGAGTGTCCAAGGCCAGCTTGGACAGCAATTGGAGCAACCTCAGACATTGGAAAACGTTCCTGACATGGCAGGGGTGGCACTGGATGATTTTATGGTCCCTCCAAATGTAACTGCTCGGCGATTCTGTGGTAATTCACTACAAAAAAAACAGCTGCATTGTTGTGCCAAGAGTATTTTGCAGAAAAATGGCAAATCTGAAAAAGTCAAGAACTCCACAAACACACATCCAACCCAACAAATTAAAACAGAATGAAAAAGCAGCATCAGCTTTCTCAGACCATGAAGGTCATGCTCGCAGTCTCTCTGTGTAGCTTTCAGCATGTGGCACTTTTTTCCCCTTTTTTTAAAAAAAAATAATTTACAGTGCAGACATTTGTGTTTAAAAGTTAGAAACAGATTGTTGCCTTGAAAGGCCAGGTTTTAATAATGACACAGACACATTTAGGGATAAAAAGGGTTTTACCTTTGGTATTTGGGATCCCAGGTGCACAACTTGATGGCAGAATGCACACCCGTGTACAGCACAGGTACAAGTTTTATGGGTTTCAGAAATTAGGAAATCTATCCAGGATTCCCCAATAAGATACAAGTTTTATAGGTTTCAGAAATTAGCATTTCTATCTGGGATTCCCCAATAAGAAACTTCACAAATGCAGTGATGTGTCCCTATTCTAATGAATCCTGGATGAGGCCAGAGCCCAGTTTACACAAGATGTTCTGGACAGAAGGCTTCACCCAAGGCTGGAACTCAGGTTTAAGCTTCACCCAAGGCTGAGCTCGGGTTTAAGATAGCACAGGGTACACTGACTCCTTCCTGAGGATGTTTGGTGTCTCTGCCCAGCAGAACTCCTAAACTAAGCTGGAATATCAGGAATTACAAACACGTGGGCTAAGGGGAGCAGAGGAATGCACAGAGGGTACAGAAAGCGTAAAAAGGAAAAGCAAAAATCATCAGGCATCAAGATGGCAGAGGACAATTACTGAGGTAACACAATAAAATCAGGGAGTGTTTGGTGCCCTGGGCAGCTCAAGCTGAGCCAGAGCCCATCTCCAGTGACAAGGAATGGAATCAGTGTTGAATTCTGGATTTGAGGAACCCCCAGAGCCCCCAAACAACCCCACAGTGTCAGATGACAGGCTGGGGGACGAGTGACAGAACAGCCAAATATCCCAAAAAGGGCTGTGAAACCCTGCACAAACCAACACAGCCGGGTGTAGCTCTGCCTGAAACTGTCAGACAACTCCAACAATGCCCTGAAACCTGACTCTTCCATCCCAAAGTTCAGCATCCTGACAGGGA